TGCACCACAGCGTCTCTGGTTGATAACAAGCCTCACTTTCTCCAGCCTTGTCAAAGATTTTGTACAGTCTCGTGGGAATAGGTGTAACACTCAGAGTGGAAGAATGTGAAGGTAGTAGGCACGTGCAGATGTTGCTCCTTTTTCGAATTGCTGATGATGACATGCTCATTAATATATTCACACAACATTTCCTGGTTCCGCCTCTGCGACTGGAGTTTTTTCAGTGTTAAAGGCAATTATGCTTCCTCTACAAGAAGAACTTTGGCGTGTTTTTCTCTCAAACAACAAACCTTTTCGCTGGACGGTTTGCCATACTGAGGAGGCGATAAAAACAAGCGCTATAACAATAACACGAGCTACGAAGTTCATTGCCATGTTACGACTGCTCCACTTCGATACTAAAATTCACACCTGTGCCCTGAATTTTATTTGTTGGAAAAGATATGTTGCAGAGCAGGTTCGAAAGAAACTTTCTTGAAAGTGGGAACCTTATCTGTTCAGGTTAGGGCTTATCCCCGCAAAATATAAACAAACAATATGAATTTTAAAAATGCTGCCATGTCCCCGCTATAGAGTTTTACTATGGAAATATTGTCATTGTCATTGCCATTCCTTTTCGCGCGTAAAATTTGCACGCTTTTCAAGCATGCGCACTCATTTTGCCGCTGTGCCGTCGGAAGGGAGTAACTGACAAACTCAGCACATTATTCTCTACCATCTCGGTTTCCAAAAGTATGAAAAACGGTAAAACCACTTTCACCTCTGGACTACCTTGTTTACATTTTATCTTAATTCAACCAATGAGTGAGCTAGGGAAGCGTTTTTTTTTCTTCTTTTTTTCTATTTGTCACCGAGACGCTTGCTGGACTGCTTACGCTTTCGCTCTTACTTGACCCTGCTTACGATTTGAGCTACCGTATAATCTTTAAACATCGTCTTACCCAGTTCTTCGTTTGCCAATCGCTCCAAAATTGCGGACTTAGAAATTGTTGCCCCTTCATTCATGTCTTGAATCAAATCAATCAGTTTTTTAGCATGGTTGTCGCTAAATATGCCTTGGGATCTTTCAGTCGTATCCGTGTGTGCCCAAATTTCAGACTTATGGCTGCTTGTGTCTTAAAACATTCTACCGACAAGAATGGCAACAGTTTCTTCCTCAACAGGTGATGAAGTTATCTCATGAGCTTGCCAGGCTGTTTGGGAACTGTAACGCCATTCCGTATGGATCCTGTTGTATACTCTTTTTGGACTTTCTTTGCACAATATCAGGTCAGACTGGATTTTTTCTCGAACCAAAGACATAGTGACACTTTGCAACGATATTTCTTAGTCAAATAAATTTTGCAGTGCTTGCAGTGTTTCCAGGGAGCTCGTTCCATACCCAGGGAGTCAGCTGTTCGAGTTCTTGTTCCCAGCTCTTTATCGTTTTTCTCACAGTTTCTCGTAACGCCATGAAGCTTTTTAGATGCTTTCACAGATGACTTGTTCTTCTCGAAAATTCTATAGTACTTCTCGGCGGTACCTTCTTGATGCGCCATTAGGTCAGCCAGGTTGCTGGTAATTTCTTTATGGCGGGCATGACATTGAGATACGGCGCTTTTTCGGTAGAGAGTGTGGTGGACTGGTCTCTCGATCCCGGCTTTCTTGGAAATGGAGCTAAGAGTATTGGTCATTTGATTTGACTCCGTTCGATTTCGTAACCATGACAAAAACAATGCCTGTTTCCCATCGGACTGTGCAGCAGGAAGTCGAGGTTTCATTTCCTTTATGAAAACATTGATGTAGCTTTACAAGAGTCATTGAGTCTAAGAGCAAAGTGCGAAAAAGAAACTGGGCCTCCTGTGTTTGACCAATATTCAAACAAAAGGGGATTGCGATATACAAAGGGTAAATCATAGCTAAAAACAACAAAGTTTGGACTACTTTTGAATTTCAATTTTTCAGTATCTCAGAGGGTGTATTTATAAGTAGCTATTCAATTTCGCAAGGGAATTGAAGTAAATTATAAAAACTCGTTAATTAGCGGCATTATCATTTTTCGACCTTGAACGTTGCGCTATATCGCGTCACATCAGCACGCCTGCTCATACGGAAGGCAATCATCAGCTGTCACCCTTGAGCAAATAGTAGACGCTGAATTGACCAATAGAGGGGCGCTTTACTTAAGTTGTGTTGGTAAGCAGTAAATCACTTAATAATAAAACATAAAACTTTAGGTAATGACGATTACACCTTAATCAGCACTAGAAAATTAAATCCACCAACTTAACATGAATGTAACAGTAAGTATAGAGCACGGCGATTGTTTGTACCAGAGTTTATTTAATTTCGACGTTTTTAAATGGGAATTTCCCTTTGCGAAAAATCTAGCGAAAGTGGCACTCTTGTAACCCGCATTACAGTCAAGGGTGTTTGTCGGTTAAATGGTTGCCAAGGGTAACAAAAAAAGCTAAAAAGCTGAAACTTTGCAAGCATAAATAATTGACATGGAACTATATGGAAATGGAAATGTCGAATAACACTGTCATAGTGGACTTGTCAAGTTTAAAACTCCATTTCAAGGGCTTAAATTGAGTTGCCAATCTTGACCACAGATGAAAGAGCATATACATTTACCTATTTTTTTCAAACGCTCATAAAACTAGTTTGAAAATTGCGAGGGTAGTTGAGAGAACCTAGTGGTGTGTATTAGCTATCGATCTATAGCTTAATTGCATTGGAATACGCCAATTACCCTTCAAAATGCACCCTTTCCCCAACGAGTGCCACAAAGGTTACATTTCACGTTTGAAAAGTAAATAAAAAACAATAAAATGCGTTAATTCTTTTAAAATTTTAACGTCACGCAAATAAAACATTGATACACGCATCCATTGTTTAGTTACGACTTTTTCAGCATTCCTCAACGAAATATTACTTAAGGAGGCTCGAAAGAGTTTTCCACAATTAATGGCAAGTGCCAATCAGTTAAAGATATCAGGACTGTCAAACTTATCATCAGGATAATGACTTGACATATGCACAACACTATTTTAAGGGCAATCTTTTAAGGGGGTTCGTCAGGCATCATCTGTTGCCATGGCAAAAGTACGGTAGTGCTAAAAGATCCGCTGAAACTCAGTTTTTGAAAGATATCTCAAAAACCAAGTCGGTGACCTTGTTTCTTTTTTCAAATTTCTTCAACATTATCACATTCTCTATCTGTACACGGATTTAAAAAAACTGTCTAGTAGAACTTGAGTTATTTAGGAAAATGCTGTTTTAAAATGTAAAAAAAAATTTTCATCAGATAAATTTTTTTAAAATTTTCTTCAGGAATGCGTAATAGTGAAAATAATTTGTACACAAAAAATCAGGGTAGGTCACCGAGCTAATTTTCGCGATACTAGCTTATCAAATTAGCAAGCTATATTTCCGGTTTTCGCAATTTTAGCTCAAACTTTTACCTCCGGTCACGCGTTTTAAACGACACCGCTGACTCAACGGCTCATCTTCGCGAAGACGAGTGCGCGTCCGCGCGATCAATCGATGTCTTCAGCGAAGGAGAAGCGATCCGAAGGAAAAAGTGTTCGTTCCGAAAATAGACTCGACTTCTTTAGTGGTTTTACACATTCCAGAAAAAAAAATTATCATTAGAGTCTCAGACTGCTTACCCTTACGACTGTTGGAGAATTCTCTTGTTTGAAGTTACTCTTGCGGAATTCGACTTAGGGCGACAAGTGGATTTTTCTGTTGGCGTCAATGCAAGTACACCATACAGGCCATTGATGTTGAATCTGTCGTATAGAGATTGTAGTTTATGATAAGAAAGACCAGCATCTGCCAGCTTCTGGACAATGCTTGAGGAAAGATTAAGCTTTCCATCAAACGTCTGGATGGTGTCTTTACGTCGTTCTAAGAAGATGGCTTCATCGAAGGCCTCATTCGCCGATACACATTTACTATGGATGACCACTTGTTCATGATTGATTTGCAGAGGACCAGTGAAAAGAATTTTTCTGAGGGCTTTGACGTCTTCCAGAGCCTCATGAGCTTCAAACTTTGGAGAAAACATGGTTTCATAAACGTCACACTCAATTTGTTTGTTACCGATTTCAGAGGGCTGTTGGGCTGTTTTCGGAGGGCCTTCAGTCAGGGTAGACTATCGGCAAATAGAACTTTCATTTCGGTTAAAGTACATGTAAAGGTCGGGCCTGCGTTCAGGAGAATTCTTGACGTGTCAAAAACAGAAGCATTGTGGCCTAAGAGGACCAAGTAATCGACGGAATTTGAACAACAAACATCTAAAAATTGTAGGAATGATTGAAGGCAGGTTTGTAAGGGCTTGGATGGGACTGGCTTTCCAGATTTGCATAAAATTCTTTGATCCCCAGAAAACCTTACAGTAATATTATGAACAGCAGTTGCAGAACTGGTTATGGAGTGCTCAGGAAGAATATATTCTGTGAATGATTGATTTCCATCATTAGTAATGGCTGAAAGTTGGAGAAGTTCAGTCCTTTTTGTTGTTGAACTTGTTTCAGTATCAAACAAGATGAATTTGTAGGTTTTCTGGGGATCAAAGAGTATTTCTTTTAATAGAGGCCTGACGGCAGAAGGAGGTATCAGTTCATATTCCTTTAGTTCAGTTTTGCAAGTGTTCTTGTTCACTTTCTGCAGAATTTCGTAGTCATTGGTGTGTCCACAAACCTTGGGGTCAAGGTTGAGGCCAATGTCATGTTTTAAGCTCAGTCCTTCCCTGTTTTCATTTCTGACAGTTGATTGAAATCTGTTTAAGCGAAGCTGCCTTTTCCTAACTTTGAACTTTTTGGTGGATTTTCTTTGTTTGTTAGCTGTTGCTATCTTATCTTGGGTTTCTTGGTAGCTTGTCCAGTTGGGCCCAGGGTTTATTCCAGTTTTAATTAATGCTTTGCACACAAACTTGTGGCCTTCGTTGTGCTGAGCAACTCCACAGGCTGTTCTAAAATCACTACTCTCACTTCCTCCATAGTGTCTTACTTTTAGGTTTTGGAGCCAATGGTTTCATTTAGAGACTCATTTCGCTGTGAGTCCAGGCAGGAGGCTAATTTTGTGACAACTGTTGGGGACGCATACTCTGAGAAAAGATCATGTAATGCCTGTTGAAGGCTGCTCCAATGCAAATCCTTCCCATGGGGTAATTCATGGTGGATATATTCTGTTGGGTTTTGTTTATATCTACACCATGAAGAATTGCATTTTTTGTGGTCAACAAAGGCATGTGGCACAATGCATTGAATTGCGATGACAAGTTCTGCAGGTTGGTTTTTGCGTTGGTGAACATAGTAGGAAAAGCACTTGACTAGATAATTAACCACTTTCTGTGTGAGAACAGATGAATCTGGAAATTTTTGACGCTGGCTTAAGTTGTAGAGCCTAGTGTTAAGTGAGCGTTTAGCGTGGATGAAATCAGAAATTTTTTCAAGGCCATAGGGAACATTTGTTTTGAGGTAGGAAAAAGTTGTAGAATCATCATCACCAATATATTGGTCATACATAATCCCTCTTGCTGGAGCACGTTGAAATAGCTGACAGGCTACACTTGCCTCCATAATCTTTGTAGATCCAGTGAGGTTCTTTCGGCAGTCATGTGGTGTAGGCTTATCTGGTTTTTTGGATGCAGCACAGGTTCTGCAGGTTTTATATCTGGTAGCAAAATCCAAGACTTTCCCAGTTTTAACTCCAAGTACTGCCCCATGACCTGTTGATGAATTATGGACCTTTCCCCTTTTCTGCCACCCCATGTCATACGAACACATCACCCAAACTAAATTCTCAGAATCACATTTAGCACCAGCTGCTATTGCCATCTCCCTTTCCTTGCAGCAACTCTCAAGACAACTCTCATTCGCTATACTTTCTACTGCTTTTCCAATCTCTCTTTCTCTGGCCTTGAATGTTACATGATTAACTGTTGGAATATCTAAGCAGGCCAAAGTGAATTTACATATGTATGGCCTATGCCAGCATTCAAAGCTCCAAGATCAAGCCTGGTATTCACATCATGTGCCAATGGCCCCCGTTTTCCATTTCTGTGTTGCATTGATGTCAGCAGAGACTTTGAACAACCAAAGTGGTGACATTTAAAAACAAAGAGGCTGGCCACTCCCTTCCTAATTTCTCTCGAAAGGTTTTTCCATGTAAGTGGACCTTGAGAAAATACAAAAGAAAATTTTAAGAGGCACTGAATGAATCTTTCGGCTCTCTACGACCCATTTCGGCAAGAGTCCTGCCTTCTAAACTTTTTCCTGCCTGCTTCCGAGAAGCGAACTTTCCATTTTTGTTTCTTAAACAATTACCTTCATCGGAAACAGTCGAGGTACCCGGCATTTTTGATACGCTCGTGGCGGCCATGTTTGTTCACAACTCGCCGGCGGATGCGATCGCGCGCGCCATCGCTTATTACTCTCGCGAGTAATTTGCTTGCGTGCATCTTTGGATCCATTCTCCGCGCGGTCAAAAAACCCTTTCGAGCCTCCTTAAGAGACAAAAGGTTACAAAGGTGGTGCACTTTACATCTAGGGGGAGAGTGGAAAAGAAGAATGATTGATTTACCACTTTCCCCATCCCCTTCTGCCATAAAAGAGGAATAAAAATGATAGCTCTCTAACTCTCCAAACCGTAATTCTTCTCTTAAATTATATTGGAAAAAGGTCAAACTAAAAAGTTACTTGGTTTGTGGTGGAAAAGACTTCAAGTAGCAAGATCAAGGAAAGTGGGTGAACCATAGGACCTATAACCATAACCTCGCACTGAAATAATTTGGAGTACTTGTTAAAGTCGTGCCTGAGATTGGATGATGGTTACAGGCCTTTACAGTTCGTTACATTCCAACACTTGCTACTCTCAGTGAGACAGTTGAGAGATAAAAATTGGTGATTTCAAGTTCCATATCAATAACCCCTTTCTTCTCCATATCTCTCAAGGCATTTCTAATTGGGTAATTTACACGAGCATTGACTTCAACCCTGAATTCGAAGATTCTTTAGGAGTAGAATATAGTGGCCCAATTAGGTTACAAATAAAACAAATTTTGATGAAAAGGATAGATTAAAATGAGATAAACCGAATCTGTTTACTGCATGCCGCATGCATGCATGCTGAACTGTGAAAAGCATAAAGTACTTTGATAATGAAATTGGGGATATGAATGGTTTTCAAACTTACTGGAAGTTGCTGTGAGATGTATTCTTGGAATTGAAAACTTGTCTAGTCAGAGTTGGGTATTGTATACTCTCCTTAACTTTAGTTTATGTAATGACAGCGTACATTAAACTTACAATCTCACTAACCTTCTTAAATTCTGTTTGCCGGTGAGGATCCCGCTGCTTATTTGTCCCTAGGTGGGCCAGTGTCTCTTGTCCAAAGAGGGTCAGCTAGAACTCACGTCCATGATCTACTCGTCTTTGATCTGGAAGGCAGTCCTCTATCAATGTTTTTCTGTAATATTGATTAAATTGTTTTCGTTATTAGAGGTATCTGTTGACAACAAGTTTAAATTTAGTGAGCATATAAATGCTATGTAAAAGAAGGTCAAGTTAGTGACGTAAGGGGATAATTGACGTTGAGTTGGAGTAACGTTTCTTTTTTTTTTTTCTGTAATTGTTCATCATGACAACAAGAAGAACTCCTTTAATGACTGTGACTACGAATGGATATAAATCTTCTCCCAAGGAAACATCGGATGGTACAAAGGGAGTTCAGACATTTACTACAAAGGTCACGGAATTGGAAGATCACTTTAAGAGAACAAGAAAGAAAAGTCATCGTAGAAGAGATTCTAAGAGAGAGTGGTGTAAGAAGACATTTAAGAAATAAAACTTCTTGAAAAAGAGATGGAGGACCTCAGGTAATATTTTTTAATGGTAGGTAAGATGAAGATTGCAAAAGTTCCGTTTATTTCACTTAAGTGTTGTTGCTATGATAGATCTCCGTAGTCTTCTTTAGAATAATGACAGTTAAATCCATGAATGGTGACACTAACAATATTGTACAATGTTAAAGGCTATTAGAAAGGATTAAACTCAGATTCGTTGTAATGGCTAACTTGATTTAATTACACTGGAAATAAAATGGAAGTGAAGAAATATAACATGAAAGGACAAAAAGATACACTAGAAAAGAAAAAATAAAATGACACATGTTCATTGTAAAGTAGAAAAAGTCCTAGAGTTTCTAGGTGTACGAAAAATATTGTAGAACTGGTTCAATTTGATTTAATTTTAATGTATACGAATTTTAGCATTGTCTCATCAGGCTCCGTATAAGAATCTTCAGGGAAAAATTACGAGATTGGATTTTTTTGTATACAAAGTAAATTCATTTATAGTTAGCCACTCGTGTAAATTGTTCAGTTCAGCATTGACCGTCTTCACGCATTTTGGATCTTCTTTTGCGAATTTTACATTTAGAGCGGGAGATCAAGCCACAGATGACACAATAAGACTTTTATTGATACTTAGCTGTCGCATCCTTGTAGAAATGCACATAGCTCCTCCAGTGTGCTTAACCATAACAAAAATGTACCGTCTTCTATTGCCAATTAGAAGCTCGTGAATTGTTAGCTCAATGAAGACGATTGACAAAACGGCTGAGAGACATTCCCAGCATACCAGCCACTGAACTGACCGATGCATTTCTTAAACGATTAGTAAAGAAACAGAAGAAGCTTGGCAATGGTTTTGTTTTTTGCAATCGCCAAAAATAGAAACTCCTTTGAGCACAATTTAGAAATCTCCCCAATCACTTCGTTCTTTTGGTATCCCTCCACCTCCTCCGCCACTAGAATTCAAGTTCGAACAAAAAAACAAAGAACACCGAATGGTGTGGGTCAGGGTCCAGCTAGGTATGACGTCGTCATTGATGAACTGAGTAAATATCTTGTAAGGGGAAAAAGCATAAGTATAAGTTTGAAAGTATATTCAAAAAAGAGAAAGCTGCCCAACCAGCCACAGAAATGAAAGACTTGATGGATATCTTAGAAGGCAGTTCATAGGACCCACCTCCACAAGAGAGAAGGGCACGGAAGGGTAAGCAGCCTTTAAGAAGGATGATGATTGAATTGATTTGAGGTTAATGATTGATCAAAGCTATTCGTATCTGCCTTCAATTTGATAGGCAATAACAATAGATACTAAAGCATATGCAAATGATTTAACGCTGTAAAAACATGACCAAGTTATTGTAACAATGTTGTAAACATTGTGAAATATATACCAAAGAGAAATTTCCTCGGTGTAAATAAAAATAAAACCAAATGTGTGAAGGTCAATATTGTTCATGATAAAATCCTTTTCTTGCTCGTTTTTTTCCTTCTTTGCAGTTGTTCATTGTTGTGAAGTGAGGATCCATTTAGTTATAAGATGTGGAGAACAGCCATTGCTAAGGCAAACTAAGGCCTAGTTTATACGTCGCGCTACGGTCGAATTTAATTCAGACGAATTAAATTCAAGGTCCCACAAGCAATTAAATTCGACGATAGCACGACGTCTAAAACGAATTAAATTCGTCTGGTAAATTAAATTCGTCCTAGACGTTTTATCCGTCTTGGTAAAACGGATAAAATATCGATAAAGCGTCTTCAGTTTTAACGTCGCGCTAGCTTCGCGTCGAATGAAATGCATACATTTTCTTAATGTATTTCAATTTATATTGGCGAGCCCGCAGCGACCCGTGGCGAGCTTTTCAAGTATTCCGCATGCGCAGAAATTCCTCTTGGGCACTTCGGCGCGAGTTTACGTTGTAGTTCATAGCCATGGCGCTTTGGAGGAAAAATTCGTCATTTTCTTGCAGTAATTGTGAAAGACAAACGAAGTATTCTTGTATAACGTGTGGTAAAAGTGTAAGTGTTCGATCGGAATGTTCGATTCCTGAAGTTAATGAAGAAGCTATCGGCTGGCAACCAAATAAACGTGTTGGGTATTGTCTCAAGTGTGCTCTTTGTACAGAAAAGCTTGTCAAAGATTGTCAGAGCGAAGTGGATGACAAAGACCATGGTCAGAGGGATCTTACAACATGTATTCGCGAAGAAGAAGAAGAAGAAGAAGAAGAAGAAGAAGAAGAAGAAGAAGAAGAAGAAGAAGAAGAAGAAGAAGAAGAAGAAGAAGAAGAAGAAGAAGAAGAAGAAGAAGAGGAAGAAGAGGAGGAGGAGTCAGATTTCATCGAGGAAGGTGAAATGGTGAGTTCTGAATGTGGGAAAAGGAAGAAAATAATTGGGCGGAGAGCGACTTGGAAAGAAGATCACATCGCTGATATGGTAAATATCATTGTTAATGATGACCAGCTGGTCAAGAAACTGATATTTTGCAATACTAAGAAAGCAAGCAACACTGAAGCTAATGAGATGGTACGGAAACGGCTGAACGTCGAATACAATAAGACCACCGGGAGTGATTTTCCTTTCTAAGTGCAACAAATGAGAAATAATTTTAAGTCATGCATTAGTACGTGTAAGCAGATCTGCATGACAATGAAAACTGCTTCAGGTATTGAAAGGTTTGTTGAAGAATGGGGATATGGTAAATGGTTTGACCTTCTTTATGTACTTGTTAAAACTAGAGATTCATGTCGACGAGAAAATGCATGTGAACCCTCTGTACATATTGGAAATGTAGACAAGCAAGATACCAGCAAGAATGATCAAGAAGTTGATGGTGATGATGATGACAGTGCAAGCACTTCATCCAGCCTTATGCATAGCAGTGGAGAAGTCCCATCCAAGGGTAAACGTTTCTTGGCAAAGAAACCTATAACTCAAATAATCTTTTTCCACCAGCAGAAATCTCAATATTGCACTGATATGATGGTTCAAGAAGTGTTGTTTGTTTAAATATTGGTTTTTTAAAATAATTTGCAAATTAAGTCTGTATTTATCTCAAACACAACCAAGCTGTGAGGGGCATGGATCTATTCCTTGTTCATGACATCACAAACTGCTTTGCAGTGCAAAAATTCTTTGAGGCAGTCTGTGACGTCAAACAGGAATGGAGCCATGCTTCTTGTGGTCTAAGTTGATTGTTGTTGTTATCCATAAAAATCCAGGTCTTAAGCAAATTAAGACAAAACAGTGGAATTTTGCTCAGAAAAATACAAATATTTATTTGGGGGAAACAGTTGGTGGGGAGGGGGGTGGGGGTGTTAAAGGCACTTTGAGAACACATTTTAAAGCGAATATCAACGAGGTGGTGATCATGTCCGACCAGTAAGTTTTGTACCGTTAACTGTCATAATTGATTGAATGAGCTGAACTTTGAAATAACATGGATGACAAAAAAATTGTTTTAATCACGTGTACATTTCCGGTTCGTTTGCTTCTTTTTCCTGCCACATTTTCCTAGTCAGAGCCTCCCTTATTGCTCCAGCTTTGCGAGATGAATCATTTCTCTTAGGGAAGTTGCGCATCTGCAACAGATCTCGTATTTCTTCTCTGGACCTTTTGTGTGAAAGGATCAATTGACAAATCCAGTTGGGCAGGAAGGCTGTCCTTTGTGGTAATGCAGATGTTGTGAAGTACAATACACGCGAGTGCGGCCAGTTTCACCGAATCTGGTCTACATTATAGCTTTCGATACAAAACTCTCCACCTGCTCTTCAGTAGTCCATAGGCTCGCTCAGTTACCATTCTTGCGCGGCTTAGACGATAGTTAAAGTAGCCCTCTTCAGGTGTAAGGTTAGCATTACCATATGGTCTCATTAACCACACTCTGAATGGGAAAGCAGAATCGCCCAAAATCATCGGGTAAACCTCGGTACCTTCAATGACTTGAGAAATCGATGGTTTCAGTAATGTTGTGCCACAAATCAGTGGATTGGAAAATGATGGAATCGTGTGAATTTCCTGGAAAACCAACACTTACCCAGATGAAACGATCCTTTGCATCTACAATGGCCATCAATACTATTGAATAAAAGTTCTTAAAGTTATGATACTCTTTACAGGCTTTCAGACCGCCAGGAGGGCACTGAATGGGGATGTGGCACCCATCTACAGCACCCCAGCAGCAGGAGAATTGCCAAAACGCTGTTATATCCACCATTTTCTCCATAATATTCTGTTTGGTGATTGGAAAATGCGCTTGCACCGAAGGTTTCCACAGGTTTCTTATGATCGCTTCACATACTTCCTCTATGATTTTGTGAACGGTCGTCACACCAAGGCCAAACAGTTCCGCAATGGTGTATAGGTAGTCACCTCTACTTAATCTGTAAAGACATATAGCCAGCCTACATTCGGCAGAAACGGGCTGCTCTGTGACAAAATCTTTCTCAATATCAGGTCGAAGACTCTTTAAAATTAAGTTAAATGTATTCCTTGATACACGAAAGGATTTCTTAAATCTTCCTTCATCATAGGACGCCCAGACCAATTCCCACCAACCTGTGTTTTTATGACTGCGACGACAACTGCGAGGTCTTCGAACGCTAATTTCATCTTCACTTGACTGTAACAGGAGACAAGTCAGCAAACAAAGTCGTAAGATAAACCTTTTCCTCATTAACACCAATGTAACCATATTAAGCCGTAGTTGACGTCGCCGTTGTCTTTCCCTGGAAATTTTCTCGAGCAAAATTGTTTTCAGAGCTTTAGCCCGCGCCATGTTTGTTTCAAAATGACACCTGACCAGAGACACTGCGTTTGGGAAGAGAATTAAATTCGACCGTATTGATTTCGACGCATAAAACCACGCCACGAGTTATGCCGACGGAACGACGAATTTAATTGAATTAAATTCGTCTGAATTAAATTCGACTGTAACGCAACGTATAAACTAGGCCTAACATTAATTGGAAGATGTCTCGAGCGCTTATTGGTTTTTTTCTAGAATTTAAGTGGTATGTCATTCGGCCACAAAATGCATAAAAGGCATCACCGTTGACTAAGTGAGCCAATTTTGCTGACGCCACGATTGTGTAAATACGTCGTTGAAAGAGTTGGACGCAACCTCGGAGATGGTTGGTACAATCTCTGGAATGTGAAGAAAGTATGAAATAGGGTTTATTTGGAGTAGGTGTTGGAGGGGAGGTGATAACCGATACATGAAGAAGAATATGTTACGGATGCGATGGTCGGAACATTTCGGACGGTAAGTCATGTAACCAAAAATCAGTATGTGAGGTTTGTATTCATAGGTGGTGGATAGCAAATCACAAAAAGAGTACAAGGAGACGAAAATGTAAATTCTTCTTCTGAGAGAAACTCTTATTGATTCTTTGTTGTAGTCTCTCATACGCTATGTGTATGTAATTTTATAGGGATAAATCGCTCGGACAGAATTGCCAAACAACATGACATTTATTATTCCAACACTAAGAGTCTAGAAGATGAATGGAAAGTCAACGAGTAAATGGTTTCATCCATTAAAAAGCCTCCAGGCAAGAAATCCATCATGGAAACATTGTCCATTACATTATTCAAATCAAAAGAAATTTGAAATTGTAATATAACAAGAAAGTTTTATTAAAAAGAAATCTTGTTGAAATCTAATTCACTAGTCATATAGCCCAAATAATTTCGTAAATCGACACTGGCTTGTCCTGGTTTCGACTTTTACACCACCGAATCCGTGTCAGAGAGTACTTGCTCATCTAAATACTCAAGGTAACTGTATAACTTAAATCTTGCTTGCGTTGTGTTAAAGGCAGCAATGAGAATGTTCATTTTCTTTCGTCTGGGTATGTCTTCGTTGATACTGTTGTACATGACTTCTAACACATCTTCTGAATGGATTCTAATGTAAAGAACTGTTGACAAAGAATTTGTGAGGTGCGCTTATGGTTTTTATAACTTGCTAAATGTTTTAATAATTTAACTGAGCTAGAAAAGTTGTCAAAGAGACGTGGTGGTTCTTATTCGTGAGAGGCCTAACCACACAAGTCACCACATCGTACCCTTGGCCACAGATTCTTGGCCACTGATTTGGTTCTTTACCTAAGTAAACATCGAGATTCCGAACAAAGCCATTACTAGAATCTGCGGTCATCCAAATTTTAATACCATACTTGATGGGCTTAGCCGGCTTGTACTGTCTAAAAGATAAACTCCCATGAAAACCAATCATACCCTCATCAACGGAAATATTCATAGTGGACAGAAAATTCCCCCCCGCATTTAGCATGGACATAATCTAATTGGGTTGAACATTAAAAAGTCGATCATAATCTATATCTCCCCCAATGTAAATAAGAATTTAATTATTCAAACCTATTCCTAGGCATCACCTTGTTTATCCCTGGATTCCCAAAAAAATTAATCGGCTGACCAGAAAAGAGCATAATTTGGTAACATAACAATACCCATAATTATGATGATTCCGAGAATTGCCTTCACTTCTGCCTGCATCATGGAACTTTTAAAAAGATCACCTAACTTTTGGTGTGCATAACGATTGCTTTCTTCGACCATTCTGTCCTACAAATCATCCCAGATGTGAGCTGAAAATATACCTATTTCATTAGGGTTATTTAAGACTAAATAATGCCTGTAGAGGCCACGAATTGAGGAACTTGGAAATCGTCAAGCTGGTCAGTCCAGCAAGCTTCTTCTTCAGCGTCTGTGTCTTCCTCTTTAGCCTATAAATCATCTAGATCTAAATCCGACTCATTATACTGATTTAATCCTTCCCTATTTAATTCATCAAACCCATCAGAGCTTCCTGTGTCCCCTGAGTCTAAGAAAAGTGCCACAACCTCTGGATTCAATTAAATCTCGTCAGCCGTATTCGACCGCAGGCACGTCAATGTGAAAATTGTAAAATTACTGGCACCACTAATCAACTGTCAAAAATCTGGGGAAAGGAGGCCAAATGACTGGTTAATTGTTCACCTGAGTCACAATGGAAACGAAACACAAAGATCTACTAGGGTTGAGTGGGGCAAGATTGTAATATGATCGTATTTTTTTATGGGGGGGGGTTCAAGGGAAGTTGAAGTTGTTACTCACAGGCGGTTACTGGTGGTTTAGATGCTGATGGGTTAAATTTGAATTGCTAAGCCATGAACGAACAATCTTTTAAAGTTTACCCTGTTACGCACATGTGAGCCATGATTGTGCTACTTGTTTTTACCAATCTGCTTCAAGACGAAATCGACGACTTTTCCCATGTTCTTTCTCTATGTGGTATCTAAACACAGCAGGGCAGGAAAAGGTTTTTGCACAACATTCTTTTCCTGGCCATATCGTCTCACCACTTATGTATTTCCTCCACCCCAATTCTGTTTTCTACTCTCTGCCGATCTACTGTTAAGAGCTGGTCTTTTTGCACTTCGATATCTGTCTCTGTCTGCCCTCTGACTTTTTCTACCGTATCATTTGCCATCGCTCCAGCATCTTTCTCACTGCCCTTCGTGAGGATTGCCTCATTAACATTTTCCTGGCATGTTATGGTGGATTAAGCACGTTTTGTGTCACTCCCCAGCTTTGTGTTGACAAATGGCATGTTGTAGGCCTGACTGAGCCAGGTTTTATATATATATATTTATATACACACACACACGTATATATATATATATATCGTTTCTTTAATTTCTTCATATAACAACAACGTTATAAGGGTACTATTGTCACTGGTGGGATTCAAAGGTCTGAGAATAGGGACATTCATGATTACCGTTCCTCGGGAAGCTAGTTCGTTTGTTTTTTCCCACGAGTCCTGATGTTTCATCAGGACTCTCGGGAAAACGAAACTGACTGTTTCCTATGGGACCATACATGAAATGTACTGTTTGCTAGTAGCCTCGTTTCAGTGTAAATTTAAGCGAGGCTACAAAGTGGCAGATACTAAACAAGACTTGGTTCCTTGGGCCGTGTGATTTCTTCGTAACTAAACAAGTTCTGATTGTAGCATCGCAGCTGCTTTCGAGTTGTCGAGCCACGTCGACAATAGACTTGGCAACCTCTTCTATCTCTTCTTGTTTCCTAGACCTGAGATCGTTGGTGCATGAGAATTGTGCAATTGAGTAGGTCACAAAACACAATATTAAGCGCATTCTCCCCTCATAATTTATCATTACGTATGAGACACTTAGTACCTACAGGGAATCATTTCTTTCCCCCCCCCCCCGACAAATGGATCGCGTTACTTGCAAATTGTTTTGTTAGTCACGCAAACATCGCTTCTCCCCAGATTCCTCGAAAAAGGTACCAAGTGAATATTGGGAATAATGGGTGTTTCGGCAAGATACTCATCAAATAAGATCCAAATTTTTGCTGATGGGAAAAAAAAACTCTTCTTTTTAATCAACACTTCATGTAATTGTACAAAGATAGGATTCTCCAAATACCGTCATGAAAACCATGTACGTAACATTTACCTTTCTATAAACAATAAAACAACTGCGTTTATCAATAAGATATGGATTGGCAATGTACTCCTGAACAAAGTTCTCATCAGACCCCTTATGAAGGTCAATTTCTACAAAAAAAAAAGTATACAAAATTAATGGAAAATATGCTTTTAATAACTCCAAGCCACTTGTTGAATAACAAGAGGCAGAACCCAACAGACCAAGTGTGAGCCTTCAAGAAAAATATTACAACTGCAAGTTTGTGTAATATTTGTACCATTTGGAGACTTGATGTGTATTCCTCTGTGGTTATTACTCTTCTCCACCCAAAGTTTCTTAGGATGGTTCTTAACCTGAATACAATAAGTAAGAAGACACAAGTTAAAAAACCTCCATGTTTTAATCACACCACATACTATAACGTTGATGCTGATTTCTGCTAGCTCAAATAATTTGTTAATATTTAATTATGTTTAGCAGAACTTGACTGAAAATCTGGCCAACTTAAGTTTACACAACACTTGTTGACGCCGAGACTAACCTTAGCTACTAACCGAACTTAGCGCCTTTGCTGACGTTTCATATCAGTCTTTCAATCTGGACGGTAAACAAGTACTCCGGGTTCTTGTCTTCTGAGAGACTGGTAAAGCACTGCTTGTACTGGATAAATGCTCCGCAGGACTCGCGGGTGCTGAGCTTACTGGCATAGGACTGAAAGGTGTGGCAGGCCATGTCGGTGTCGTGGGTACTTCCTTGTGATTGGTACTAGGTAAGGTTGTACCATCCTTGTTTCTTTGCTTGCTTGATTTGTAGGCTCTGCTGCATATCTCAAGAATTGCCTATTCCTTCTGAGGGTCTGATGGCCTGATTTGACCTGTCTGAGAGTTTCACTACGCGAGTAGCTTGCTTCCACGTTTGATTCTTCTGCAAGGGTGCGATTCGGACTTCTTGTCCAATCTCTAGTTCAGGCGACTGTTGTGCACTATGGTCACGGTAGAGCTTGACCTTCAGCCTTTTCCACTCTTAACTGCTTTGTAGAGTCTGGAATTATTTCGGGACGGAGAAGACTTGCTGCTGTAGGTAGTAGAGTTCGTGTTCTTCTAGACATAAGCCTTTGAGCAGGGCTGGTTCCTTGACCTTCTGTAGGGGTGTTCCTATAGTCTAACAAGGCTAACTATGGGTCTTTACCATCTCGTTCAGCCTTCTGAAATAGCTGTTTGACCGTCTTGACTGAAGATTCAGCTTTACCTTTGCATAATGTGGTAATGACGTCACATGGTTGAATTCCCAGCTGATTGAAAACTCGTGAAACTCCTGACTGCTAAACTGTATACCTTTGTCTGAAACAACAGTGTCCTGAATCCCTTGTCTACTGAATTGCTGTATAAGAACTTAAGAACTGCATGTGAGGTAGTGTCCTCAAGTTCATCTACTTCAACAAAATCTGAGAAGTAATCAACGAGTGTGATGTAATTCTTGCCCCTTCCTGTAAACAGATTTGCTTCATGGCCTGTCGGGAACTTCATGAGATTTCATAGGCTGACAAGCATTTTTTGCTGGAAACTCTGCGCAAACTGAGCATCTCTCAACTATAGCTTTGATTTCTGAATTCATGCCAGGCCAGGAGACCATGTCTTTAGCCTTTCTCGGGCACGTAGCAATTCCTTGATGGCTGGAGTGTATTCTTAAAAGCATCTCCGGCCTCATAGCTTTCGGAACTATCGCTTTCTGACTCTTAAACAGAATTCCGTTGTGGAGCGAAATCTCTTCTCTATAATTCCAGTAGTCGGAATTTGTACTGGGCATTGCTCTCTTTTCTCTAGCCATCTCGTTAGGAAAGTGTTTTTTAAGGTTTCGAGAGCGAGGTCTTGCGCTGAAGACTTCTGCAGTTGAGCCAGCCTTTCTGGAGCTACTTCGATGGAATCAAAAGGGATGAGTGTTTCAAGTTCTTTGGCGAAAACTTGAAAGTTGTCTGACATCGACGTACTATCAGTGAGTCTCTAGACAAATGATCGGCGACATACATCTGAGCACCAGGTTTGTACTTGACCTCTACATTAAAGCGTTGTAACCGCAACATCATTCTCTGTAAACGGAGCCGAGTGGATGGACTTTTGAAAAATGCTCTGCAAAAGCTTGTGATCTGATTTAACTGTTATCTTCTTCCGACTAGCAAGGCACTGACTAAACCTTTCACATGAGAAGACAATCGCTAAACATTCCTTTTCAATCTGAGCATATTGTCTCTCAGTCCGTGACAGGGATCTGAAGCAAACGCGACCGGCTGCCGTTTTCCAACAACGCTGCTCCTAACCCATATTCGCTTGCATCGCATTGCACGGTGACTTATTCCTCCAGATCATAATACTTGAGCATACAGTGTTTGACTACAAGTTTTCTTCCTTCCTTGAATGTCTCCTCGTGCTTTTCTGACCAGATAAATTTTGCTTCCTTTGCAGTCAAGTCCCTCAGTGGTTGTGCAACTTCTGATAACCTAGGCAGGAACTTTGACTAGTAATTGACGAATCCTAGGAGACTCAACAGTTCCTTCTTTGATTGAGGCTTCGGTATCTCCTCTACTGCTTTAGATTTGTCTGGGTCTGGCTTTAACCCATTCTTGGTGATCAAGTGTCCCATGAATATAACTTCAGACTTCCTGAGGTTTATCTTACTGCTGTTTAGACGTAGATTTGCTTTAGAGTTAGGTCTAGCTGACGAAGTAAGTTTTCATCATGATCTTGGTTAGCTTCCTCGTCATTCTCTCCATAGCCCATTACAAGTATGTCATCTCTGATCACCTCTACCTCCGGTAACCTATCAAGTTTCTCGTGTAACTTATGCCCTGTTCACACCAATTTAAACAAGTTTCATTAAACATAGTTTTTTTAAACATGGTTTTATAAAACATGTGTTGTTCAAGAACCGTTCACACTGCAGACTCGGTTAGGTATCGTGCAGCCTCGTTTTGATGTGGATTGTTGCCAATAAAATTAAACAGGCTATCAAACAAAACAAACATGGCAAACTTTGATTGTCTGTGGTATTCTCTGAAACCCCCACATTTTTTTGGAACATTTCAAAACCTGGACACCATCTGAGAACAATTAAAGATGCAGTAATTGCAGGTTTGCCATTTCACATATGGAATAAACATTAGCACTGAAATTATGCTAAAAAATTAGGGAGTAGTGTGAAACACATGGTGTAACATATGCTAATTTAGCCATGCATACTCGCGTTCACATAAAATACTAATTTGAGTGCAAGACTTGCATCTTACTCTATGAGTAGTAGCTTTAGGCCTAAGGAAGGAGGGGGACAATCTCAGCTTTTCTATCAAGTGTTCAGTTTAAATACCAAGAAGATCTACTCACAGTGACATGGCCTCAGCTGGGATTTATGTCAGCAAACTACTTTAATTCATTGACTTTTTGCTCTTGCTCCGTTGCTAGTGACTGCATCATTATACACCAGACTTTTTTGGTAGTCCCTTACAAGAAAGAATAATTAAGCAAACAAACACACAGAGCTCTCTGTTGTAAATGTATCAATGAGACTTAAAAGACATTATTCATACCACCTTCTTCCTATGAACAACTGATGGAACCTTAGAAACAAATTTCATCATTTTAAAGGTGGATCACAACTTTATTTTCAAATATTAAATCAATTTTCCAAAAAAATCCTAATCACTGTGCACAAAAATATTCATTTATTTCATTGATTTTCCGGAGCATTTTTTAAATACTCTGGGCCAGGTCGTTCAAAGCTGGCTTAAGTTAACCCAGGGTTAGTGTGAAATTTGATTTCAAATCTGAAAAATTAAAAAAGAAATCCATTTTCTTTTTTTTTGTCTTCAATTTGATGATTAGATGGTCTAAGAAAAATAGGGAAAATTATCCCAAAAAAGACTCCTGAATAAGAAATAAAGAAAGCTGAATCAAAATTTTACCCTGGGTTAGTGCTAATCGGCCTCTGAACAACTAGGCCCTGCTGGAAAATTAAAAATAACACTTAAAGGAAAATAAACCGATTTCTATTTTCTCGAAGAAAAAAAGCATAATCAATTAAAGACAACCGTAGAAGACAATTAGTTCAAGTAAAGAAAAGTTAACCGGAGAATGTCATCATCAATGACTCAAGCGTTTTCTTGCACCTTCTCCAACGACTAAGAATCGGCCATTAGATTTCGTCAAACATCTTTCAACTTACAGCATAAATAAAGCCGAAAACTAAACCAGCTGAAACTGTCGCAGGTACGAGCGCAAATGAAATTGTTGAAAACGCGTACTTTTCATTTTCGAAGAACCTGCGCCAATTTCAGCAGAAACTCTTGGTCTTCCTTCCTCCTTTTCTCCTCCCTTTCTTCTTCTCGTCTTTCACGAGCCTCCTCTGCGGCCAGAAAATCCCTATCAGCAGCTTGTTGATAGGAAACAAATGCCTCCAACGCCTTGTCGATTTTTGTAAAGGCATCCGTCGTTGACAGCTTACGCTTCTTCGTGGCGGGTTTGAAAAATGGCTTGCTAGTATCTGTTGTTCTTTTTGCGAAGGAACACAAGAAATCCTTAAATGCAGAAGTCGAGAATAAATCATGTGGAAGGCTGTTTGAGCCAATACTTATCTCAACATTATTGTACAAATCTATTCATCTTGGAAGTAAAATTATCAAGAAATTTTGTTAGAGATTAAAGACAACGCAGGCGCCGATATTGAAACATTTCCTTGGCCCATTGTCTGACCCTCCAATCAGCGAAAGTTTTCAAAGCTCACCTGTCAAACATTCAGCCTTGTTTGGTTGAGGAAATTTGCCAGCTGTTTTATTGTTGCTGCCGCCGCTGAAGGAAGGCAACTCTTCGTTTGGTTCACAGTTCTCAATATTTTCATGGTCTTCTTCTTCATTGTCCGCCTCAATGATAACTTTTGAAGAATTTACCACAACCTTCGATTTGCTATATGGTTTTTTTGAGAGAAATTCATCAACTTCGTCGAAAAACGCCGGCTTCCTCTTCAGATTTTCGTTTCTGGTCTTCTCGCATTCTTCTTTGTAGGACCGATACGCTCTTACTAAAGTGTGTATTCTTGTTTTGCAGGCATCTTCATCACGGTCTTTGTAGCCTGCCGCTCGAATAAAATCGCTTATTTCTTTTCATATAGGCCTCTTTCTTGTACAAGACATTAACTTCATTTCTATATTTTCGTCCCCCCACTTCTGGAGTAGCAATAACGTTTCCTGGTTTTCCCAAACTCTTCCGCAGGTTTTTTTTTGTAGCCGCCATTTTTAATGTGTTTGGTTTAACACAAAAGTTAAACAACCTCATTCAGGTAGTTTTATTAAACACGGTTTTGAACGTGTTTGGCTACACGCGCCCGCTGTGTGAACAGGTAGTTTAATAAAACTAGTTCATTAAAACAACATTTAACCATGTTTAACCTTTGGTGTGAACGGGGTATTAGACTCAAATTCTTCAGGAGCTAGGCTGATACCGAAGGGTAGTCTCAAATACTTGTAACGCCCAAACAGAGTCCAGAATGTCCTCTTGAGGCTACTACTTGCATCCAATCCAACCTGAAGAAACCATCTTTAGCATCCAAGGTGCTAAACACTTTTGCTTCTCTGAGTTTAGGTAACAATTCATCTTAGGTGGGCATTTGATATTTAGAACGGATGACTGCCTTGGTAAGATCTTTAGGATCCAGGCAAATCCTGATCCTGTTTCGTGTGGTCACCACAACCATACTACGTCAGTCACCATAACCCACTCGGTGGGTTATGGTGACTTTCTCCACGATTCCTTTCTTCTCAAAGTCATCAAGTTTGGTCTTGACTCTTTTGCGTAAGGCGACTGGTTTATCAACGAGGAGAGTGCTGCACTGGCTTGGTATTTCCAATATGGCCCAACCCTTCAAACACGCCACTGTAATCTCTCAAATCTGATCTCTAGTCAGGAGACTGTTCTTAACACTATGAATAGATTCCTCTGGATCCAATTCAACCTTGAGAAGCTCTAACTGTTCACAAGTCTCAGCTGATAGTAGAGGTTTGTTAGTACTGTTAACAACTTGGAATCTCAGGTCCCTGCGGTTGCCTTTTCTCTCTACTTTGAGGGTAACCTCTTCTACTGGCAATATTAAAGTACCATCAAATAGCCTGAGCTGTGAGTTGGACTTACGTAAAGGGGGATCACCATTCTGGAGTAATTGAACCACGCATCTGTGACTGATCACATTGCAAGTTGCTCCTGTGTCCAATTGACACACAAGCTGCTCTTTGTACTTCTGATCTACTATAAACGTAAAGCTAGATGTCAACTGTCTACCACTACCACTAATTGCTGTTATAATAAGGTTCGGATATAACGCGCGCTGTCATTGGTTGAAAGAGCGTGCTCTATGAGAGTATAGAGCATAGAGCTGAGCTAAAGCTGTCACGCCATCTGCCAAATTGTGCTATGTTCGACCTTTTCCGGGACTTCTTTTTAGCTTTTTTCCGATAATTGAAAGTGAAATTTCGAAACAAGCGATCCGGCAAGTAGCAACAGAAGAACCAAACAAAGGTTTGTCAACTTACCAGGCGCCGTAATTTACGTTATTGAAACGTGAGCAGATACGAAAATCCTCAAAGGAAAAACAAAATAGACATTCCGAGTATTAAAGATTTTCACGCTCAGTTAGATTGCAAGCTTACGTACGGAAATAAAAATCAAACACAGCTAACACTCGTATAGTATATAAAGTTCAGTGTTCAAATACAAAACTGAACAAAACAGAAATGATGAAAAATATAACCAAACTGGCATAACTGCTAAAATTCATTCTAATCATGACCGTGTCTGCGCGAATATGATCATGCTGAAGTCCATCGCTACTCGCTTATCATGGCGATCTCTGGTCATCACAGTAAAGGAAGCCTCAGAAACTACATCGGCCGCCCTTCGAGTAAAAAAATAAGAGCTTGCTCTGATATCCTTTCCGATGCGTTGAATGGAAAGTCACATCAGTCACTGCAGCCGAGTTTTGCCGTGCTGTCATCCCGAGCGATCTTCATGTTCCGGTGAATTCGGCTGTCGTTCATTCCAAATACACTCGCCTTGAACAGTTTGTTTTCTACCTTGTCATGTGAAAAAACTCGCGTGTTTTATGAGCCATTATTCGGCTGAAGTTCACTGAACATTTCACTTCAAGATTCTGTATTAGAGATTTAAAAACTTCAGGCAAAAGTGTTAAATTCGACCTGCCGAACTATTTTAGTTTGAAAACTATCGCAGAATGTGAACTTTGATGGTTTGACACTTTTGACAGCTTTAGTCTTGTTCAGCCAATCAGATTATTTGAACCATTCTAACAGGGATTCTGATTGGCTTATTGAAGCGTGCTTTATGAGAGTATAGAGGATGCTGACGACACTGTCGTTCGCTTTGGGAATAAAATTTGTTTTGAAAATTGAAAGTAATGCTCGGGGAATTTAATGGTTTCTTTATTATAAAACAAATAAAGAAGAAATGGTGGGGAGAAACACTCGACTACGTCTCGTGTTTCTCCCTACACTTCTCTCGTGCTCTAGCCGCTTCCTGCGTGCTTTATAACAGAACAGAGCATAGTCAAGGCTTCTCTATTTGTTAATTATCTCTTCTAGCTGTAACAATGATTCCTCTGACTCATAACCTTCTGCCTCCTCGGCAACATGAACTTTCTCTTTGCTTGACTGGCACATACGAGCGAAATGATTCATTTTCTTGCAAATTCGACATTTCTGTCCGTGTGCTGGATAATCAGTCGGCTTGGCATGCTTCTTTTGCTGACCACAGTACTTGCATTTCCAAGATTTATTGGCAGGTTTCTTTTGACTTGGAGGCTTCTTTTGGTTTTGAGGTTTCTTCCCTTGTGCTGATCTACGCTTATCACGAACGAAATTTAGTTCGTCGTTATCCTTCTTCTCATCATTTTATATTGATTTCAACTGCTGATTCGTTACTCGGGTTGATTTACACATGTCAACTGCTTTATCCAGGGACAGAGCTCTCTCTCGAAGCAATCTAGCCTTTGTATTCTTATCTTGAATTCCAATGACTAATCTATCTCGTATCATTTCTTCCGTAAGAGCTCCTTATTGATAATAATAAATAATCCTCCAGTGCTTTGTGTGCTGAAGAAATAATAATTTTACCAGGGCCAAAATTAAGATTCCGAAAACTCTGCCGGCGCTCTTTTCCCATAACGGAACGGAACGTTGCTAACCGTACCTGTTGATTCTTTTGATCCAAACCAGTCGCTACTTCGTAATCTTGCCATTGTCGCTTGAAAAATTCCCAGTTACTCGGAATATCCCCACGACAAACCATTGCTGCTGGCACAGGGAAATTGGTAGGGAAATTGTATATCTGAGGCGATGGGGAAGCGTGTGGACCGGCGGAAACAGCTTGTGGAGCTGGCGGTGGAAGGGCTTCTTCAGTATCCGATATCGTTACGCTTTCCACGCACGTGGTCAATGAAGGAAATCGCTGTACGTAGCGTTTGCTGTAGTGGTTTAGCTGCGCTTCGCTCCTAACACTACTTGAACGGACTGGAAGCCTAACTAATTAATTGTGTGCATTGCAGCTCGCTATAAGATTAAAAAATCACTTCTGACACCGTGTTTCGGAAAGACACTCATCAACTGAGATCCACATTTTTGCTAATGAACAAAAACTCTTCTTTTTAATCAACTCTTTTTTTTTTAATCAATACGTCATGTAAGTGTACACAGACATTATTCTCCAAATACGGTCATGAAAACCATATACGTAACAATGGGAAAGCGCTTGAAAATACAAACGCGGAGAAGCTCTAACTGTCGTGCTTGATTAGACTTTTAATTGTAATGGGACTTGTGTGAAATTTTAAATATAAACCAGTGTATCAAAAAAGATGCACGTGTAATCCTGACTCGTGTTTTGTGAGAAATTTGGATCAGATACAGCGACATTAACGATCTTCACTTCCGCGTCGATCGACCGGAAAACGCGGATATCAAGGTGAGCTAGTCTTTAATTGTTAATCTTTAATTTATGTTTAAGAAGAATTCCAATCTCATTTCTTGAACTATTTTAAGTCTTATCAGCCATTGTAAGCTCCTTGTTTTTTAATTCCACTGCAAGATTTTCTCTGATATATTGAAACAAATCACGTTCCTTTTGTAGAGACGTTTAAGTTTAATTTGTATTTACCTTTAATAAAACCTTACCCTTTAATGAAATATGCGATAAAACTTCTAGCAACCCTAATCTTTTTCCAGAAAAAGAGTCTTTCAACCCTCTGTACCATTTCTTCTTGTACATGAATGTCACTGAACCTGAAAATTAGTTCCTTTGCAACCAAAAACGGGAAATGTCTGTAAGATACCCCTTACTTTAATGTACGATTACCATCGTCTTCTGGGCTAAGTTTATTCTCCTGACCCTTGCCTGAGGTTACTTTTTAATCTGAATGAAAAAAGATCATTCATCAGTACAGTATAAGTATGAGAAATGTTCTTATTTATTGAGAGCCTCACTACCTGTAAATAGTTATATGCAAGATATATTGATACAACTGAAGGCACCACCTTTTAACCCTTTCACTCACAAGGTAAGTATCATCTATAACCAATTTTAAGACAGTTTCAAATTTTCTTTTACTTCTTGTTGATTAAATACTCTGAATTTTTCCCCTTTTTTTACAGGTCATAACAACGTAAGTCATAGCACTAATTGTGCTTCTGTCTCCTCTTTATAATAATTTATAATAACCAGGGCAAAGCCAATGTACACTATATTTTTTAAAAGCTCAGTGCTACAATATTTAATATGCTAAAAAACGAATTTATTTTTTCCGGACAGATTTAACGCAGGCTGACAAGGATCATCACTGAGATTGACCTCGACATACTGAAATTGAACTAAAAGCAAAACTTATGTCTAACTGAGGTCAGTCCAATTTCCCCTCAGTAATTTTGACAAAAAAATTGTTGATTACTACAGATTTATGGAAACACAAAGTATGTACATTTGCTTTTTATGTTTGATTTAGATTTTTTTACCTACTAAGACTTGCTTTGTATCATATGTTATGATATGTAAATTTGTGAATATCACTTGGAGGTACAACTTGTACCAATTACCTGGAAATGATGATGATTGATGTAAAAAGAAACAATACAAGCACAGATTACATGTGATTATCAAATGAACTTAGATATTTGAGGGAAATTGATAAAGATACTTAAATTTTGGCAAGCTGGTTTATAATGTAAAATCTTAAGGACTATCATAAATGCATCTTTCCTGTGCCAAATGATGTTTTAAAATAGTTTTTATTTTGGCAAATAACTATCCAAAAAGGGAAAAAGTTTCTGAATACAGGAATAACTTCTGGCAGCATGGGTGAGTTTTACAATGTCTTAAGATGTGAACTGAGGTTAATAACATTGTAAATTTCCAATCGTAATCTCTCTTAGTGGCCAAAGGTTAGGTTTTATCAAAAAGAGTAACAAATTGCATTCATCTATCAGTTTGCGAATTTTAGTCTCAAATTTTATTATTGACAAGTATACTTTGACTTGCACTCAGGTCACTAAAATCTCTTTATTCATAAACCTACATTTTAACTGGGATTGGAGTTAATATTCTGCAAACTGTAACTTTGTGAATTCATAGACCATTGCAGGAAATAAAACAAAGTGTTTCTGTTGAGGTCCATACCTGCATACACAGTTATTTGATGAAGGCAAAAGAGAAGAAAACTAGGGGTCTTTTTGGAGTTTAAGTCAGGTAGTAAAGGAAAACATGAAAATGACGCAATTTGGAAAAAATATCTTGGTCTTGTGCACAGTTAGGTGTTAGCTTTTGGTAATAAATATTACAACGCTCAATTCATTGTTACACAAAGTTTAAGGAACTTGAGGTTATTTTTTAACTTAAGGGAAAATCCATTCTGAGTACAACCCAAAACAAGACTTGGTGGTTGAGAATGAAAAAGTCCACCCTTTCTCTCCTTAATAATTTTTCTTTTTAAGAATAATGAAAAATGACATGAATTTCCTGCAATAAGCAAAATTTAGGCCATGTAGTATGAATTTTTCCACCCTCTTGAGGTAACTGGCTTACAGGAATCATGATCTCTTGAATCTGAAGGGAGTTACAAAACAACATACTTCCAACGCCACTATTAAAATAATAATAATAATAATAATTACAAAAATAATAATGATAATAACTCTTGATTCAAACACAAATATCCAATATTTGAGAGAGACCCCTGAGGGTATCCCTATAAGAAGGGCTTCCTAACTAACTAACTTAACAGTTTAAAATCTTCGTAAAAACAAAAATCAAACAAAACAAAGTAGGACTAAGGGGGCAGTAAATTTATTACCCGGTAATCTAATAATGTTCATCCAAGTGAATCTTTGTTCTGTAGAAGCACTAGTGGCTGGTATTTTTCGCTGGTTACACTTTTCTGAAGCAGGCATTACACACCATGCCTAGATTAGAAAAAGCAGTAAAATGGTTTTGAACCACAACCAATTCTGGATCTCTTCACAATGAAAGTTAGTACTAGATCAACTTGTGTACCAAACTTGTTTTAACCTGCATTACCAAAAAAATGATGATGATTATGATGATGGAAACACTTGTCTAAATCTGAATTAAATTTTTAGTGTTTTTATGTGGCTGGTGACTAAATGTCTCTGAAGACCACTGACCTCATTTTTTTGGGAAGACAAAGAGTATAACTAAACAGTTGGAAATTGTCTTTATACGTTCTGAAAATTTTATTGGGGCAGCCGTAACTTTGAATAGTACTTTGTAACTTAGCTGCTTAGCCGTGACAGTCAGCAAGGTCTTGCTCCTCTTTTATTCGTGTCTTATGGTCATTTTATTAAAAAATTAGGAGTTATTCCAAAAGGCACTCTTGATTGAAAAATTGATTTTCTCTGGTTTCATCAACATTTGTCCAGCACCTGTTTATGAACCACACATTGTGGTTTTGCATGTGCAGCTAGTGGGACACCACTGTTAATTTTTTACACGTCTGAGGGAAAAATGTTTTAATGGTTAGAATACTTGCTCTTGGAAATCTTAAACTGTGGTTTATTGTTAAATATTAATGAAAACTTTGTATTTGTAGTCTGAGATAGAAATATGGAGCATACTTGATGAGGATGATAATGATGATAAAGTCTTTATTGAAAAAATCAGACTCAAGAGAAGTGAGTTTACAGGCAAAATCACAAATAATAGATACAATTTGATGTCTACAACATGATATAAAAAGAGATAAAAAGATATGATCACACAAGTTTGAAAAGATATCTGTTTATAAACGAGTTTTTGTATATTTCAGTTCTTATCTGGGGAAGTTGGAATTCGTGCCCCTTTTCCCAAGTGTTCTTGTCTGTTTTGGCGACAACAGATCTTGAGGGTGATGATTTTTTGTGGTGGTGATTTTGTAAATCCCCAGACTTCCAGGCTATACACAAAGAAGGATAACATGAGGGAGTCAATTAACTTGTTGAGTTGATCTTGATAATAGCTGTAAAGCTTGCAAACCCTCAATATATACAGCCAAGTGCTTGCTTGGTTATGAGGTTGTAAATGTGGAGGTCCCAGAAGCAAGGGTGTTCTTGAAATGTAATACTGTTTGTCAGAGCCACTGATGAAGGGCTAATGCTTGAAACGTCAGCTTTAAAACCCCTTGCGGTAGCCAATTTACATTATCAACTCAGTTGGTAATACTTAATTACCCTGTTATACTCTCCCACCAACACAGCAGCACAGTTTTATTAGAGACTTATCTCCTTTATTCTTATTTTCAGTGCCAGGTACTGGATGTGGTTTAGGCTTGGCATATCAGCATTTGCCATGGACACACTTTGATCACCTGTAAGATATGTCACATGCTGATAAGCAAACGTGTTTAAAAATAAGTTATGTTTATCTCTTTTTGAATTACTTTCTAATTTCATATGGTCACTTTTAGGAAAACTTTGAACACAGATCCAGTCTGTTATAATGGCAGGGCCTAGTAAGAGCAGCAGCTCAGTGGTTTGTAGTGATGACCCTCCACCTCTGAGTATTACACTGAAGAAGACAAGAGATCTGCCAAAGAAGATGAAACAATGGAACAGAGACCATCTTCCAGTTGACATTCTGCTTTTGACTGTGGAGGATTGCGAGCTCTTGGCTTGTTATCATTACCTGAGCGATCCCTTTAAAAGCTATGAGAGATCCATTGGATATGTGTATTTTGGAAAGATAGGTGAAGAAGATGGGGCACTGAAAGTTGCCCTATTGAGATGTTCTAAAGAATCTGCAGATCCTGGAGGTTCTCAAACTGCTGCTAAAAATGCTGTCACACTCCTGAATCCCAAGGCTACACTTTTGGTTGGTTTCTGCTACAGTTTGAATGCTGACAAAGCCCAGTTAGGAGATGTGGTGTTATCCTCAATGCTTGCAACATATTTTAACAAAACCCCAGTGAGTAGAGATGTTGGCAAACTTATCAGAAGTGCAGCTGATGGATGGGAGGCACCATTAGAAAACCCAGAAGCACGAAAAGTCAATGTCCATCGTGATGGAGAGATTTTGAGTTGCTGTGATCTGAATGGTGCCAAACAGCAGTGTCATTTACACCCTGGGGCAATTGCAGTTGAAATGGAAGGAAAAGGTGAGAATTATTCCCAGGGTTACTCTTGCTTGGCATTTGGGATCATTGTTTTTCCATGAGAAGAATTACATGTATTCCTCATGTCCAGTGTGATAAAATGTTACTAGGATCACTCACACAAAGCTGACCACCGTAAATTAACTCTTTGTAAACTCTTTTTCATGTGTGCGCTTTGGGCCTAAGCACTGATTGGCATAAGTGAAATTTGTTGGGATTATCGTTCATTTCTCTATAATATAACTTTTTGATCTCATATTAGTGGCCCAGTAACAGAAGATGATTGTTCTCAGTCATTTACAAAGGCGCACTGCGAGCAAGAAATACATTATGAGTAGTCGTGAAGGTCCTCAAACATAATGTGTATTACATGGCACCCTCAATTTCATGTTCTTAAGCTTTACCCCTGAGCTACAGGGTCAGAAGGGAGCTTTTGATGGCTAAGCTGTAAGGCCAGGTTTCTGAAGGAAGTGAGAAAGTTAGCAATTTTGTATGGGGAGTGATCACCACAAGTGCACAATGGTAATGAGTATTACCGCGTACCCTCCACTTTGATGTCCTTTAGCTTTAGCTCTGAACTACAGGAGGCTTCTGGTTGCTAAACTAGCCAGGAGAAGGGGAAGTACTTATAAATTTATTGTAGGGGGTCAGTGGTAAGCTCAGGTGTACAATGGTAATGTGTATTGCAGTGTACCCTCCAACTTGTCATATTTTGAAGCCTCACCTCTGAACCATTCAAAGTTCATGATTGTTAGACCATTTAGCCAGGTTTTTGTGTGAGGTGAGGTACTCAATACTTTTTGTTCGAGGAAATTCTTTCCTGAATTCCAAATCCTTACTCTTTAATATAGCGCTTCTGACCAAAAAGGTACCCTGCTCTACTCATTATACTCACTAGGAAGGGTGGTGCTAATTTATAAACCTGTAGAAAAAACAACATTCCTTAAAGAAATACAGTGGCAAAAGAAAAATAAAAAGATTGATCTGCAGAAAAACGAAGCCTCTTCTGCTCAAATGAATCGTAATTATCTCCCTATAATATCATTGTTTAAATCCATTTCAATTTGGTTTTTTTTTTTTTTTTTTTTCCTACCTCAGGCCTTTTTGCAGCAGCACACGACTTGAAGATTGAGTGGCTTGTCGTTAAAGGTGTTTGTGGTTTTGTACATGGCGCTGCAACTTCAAACGATTCATGGAAGACTTTTGCTTCTGTAATGGCAGCTTCTGTTGTATCCAACATGTTGAGTAACTCTTTTGTGTTTAGAGACTGGCCTCATTACGGACTCCGAGGTACGTGTACATTTTTGTCACAGCTTTGGTTGTGTCTTCCAAGAGATCTTGTAACTTGCTTGATTTCCTCGGTATAGAATATCGCTATCTGCTGATGAAACATGAAGACCAACAGTGGAATTAAATATATATCAGAAAACTGATAAACATACGCATTCTTTGTTTTTCAATCGCATTGCTCTGAAGAAAACTGAGATACGTACAAGTTAACTTTTAAGTTAACTTAAAAGTAGTTCTAGTTCCAATTTTAAAGTCATGGATAACGTTCTAAAATTCCAGATTAGAGGGGTTCATAAGAAATTACTCACTTTCTGCGGCTTCATTGTATTTCATTAGTCTTAAATGAAATCTTTTATCTTTCGTCTTAGATTGTAGGTATTACAAATCGTTGATTAAAGACGCTTATCAAATACCCTCTCCCCCAGCCCTCCTAATTATTGTTTTCGTGTCCAGACTATTGTGCGCAGTAAGACGAACCCAGATTTTCTTTGTTTACCTTTTTACGAAGTACCTCACTGTTACTGAGCGGTTTAAAACATTGTTGAGTTCTAACTCTTAGCTTTTATTCCCACCCAATGAATTTCAATTCTTCAAGTCCATCAATTTCTCTTCTCTCTTTTCCGTGAGCGGGCTCACATGAGATTTTCATCTTAAATCAGCACTTATTTTGACTCCTGCTTGTAACCCATTTCACAAATTTAGTAAGGTGTGTTTTAATTCTCACTACAGTTTGACTTTCCTTTCACTTTTGCAGACATTTCAACTGGAGAGGAGAGTTGCAAAAGTGACAACCCTTCAGAAAATAAACGTAGAAGGCTTGCAGGTATTGTAACAACACACGTGAAAAAATACTGCATTTTTTCACGTGTGTTGATATAGTCAATCAGCTGCTGACACGTCACTCGTCTTTCGCGCCTCTCGGTTAGGTTGATGAATGAATGGCAAAGCGTGGCATAGCGTCGCAAAGCGTTTGGTTTTTTTTTCTCAAACCAAGGTTGTTTATTTCTGAAATGTGCACAAACTATGGCTGATAGATTCGTTTTGCTTACAGATACAGACGTAGAAAAATTTATCGACATTGAAGAAAACAGAAACACAGAAAGAAAAACCGAAGGGGACTTGAGTTTGGTTATGGTGTTTCTCGCGAGGGAGAAAGAGAATCGAAAAATTGAAGATCTGCCACCGGCCGAATTAGATACCTACCTGAGCAGATTTCTGCTATCGGAACGGAAAAAGTCTGGCGAAGAGTACAAACCAGCAACTCTTAAAGGAATCATTTCTTCGGTTGAACGCTATCTGAAAAAACGGGGCTACAGCGACTCAATAATCACGGGTCAACCGTTCGCCAAAACGCGAGATGCATTGAAGTCAAAACAGAAACCGCTGAAATGGCTTGGCAAAGGAAATAAACCAAAAGATGCAGCTAGTTTCGACCAAGAGGAGATTGATCTACTTTTCAGGAATGGAGTCATGGGAATTCATTCGCCTCAAGCACTCATTAACACGCTGTGGTTCAACAACTGTTTACACTTCAACATAAGAGGAGGAAAAGCGCATCGCAGCCTGAGATGGGGAGATGTTGTCTTCAAAACCGACTGTAATGGTAAAGGATATCTTGAATACTCAGCTGAAAGACAAAAAAGAACAAGACCTGGCGATAATTCACTAGACAGAAGACAAATCAAGCCTCAAATCTACGAGAACCTTACAATGCCCAACGAGCGAAATCCCGTTTCAGCATTCAAATTGTACATGACTAAACGGCCAAAGGAAACTCTCGTCGATGGGTCGCCATTCTACCTAACGATAAACCATCTTAGCAAAGAAAAGTTGGCCTTATCAGGTGCGAAATGGTTCAAGTCTCAACCTATGGGAGTGAACAAACTAAATACTTTGATGAGAGAATGTGCGAAGGCAGCTGGTCTTGACACAAATAAGCAAATCACCAACCATAATGCAAAGGAAACGCTTTGTCCAGATAACTGGCCAAAAGAATCCTCAGTCTATCAATAACTACAGCTTATTGGGAGAAAAGTAGCAAATGGCAAATTCAACCCTCCTGTCGACAACATGTTCAAGCACTTCTGTCTCGCAGCAGCTTCAATCGCAAACAGTGCCGCAGCCGGTGATACAACAAGAATTTTCTGGCAGGTTCGTGCCCGGTGAAAGTTAATTGTTTTAAATCTCTCTTTCAAGGAAATTATATTTGTGGAGGAACATTTAACGTTCATGTTTCAAGTTCAGCTTCCACCAGTACGATGGTCAAGGAAAGTCCATAAAGGAAGAAAAAGTTTCGGAGACTGCAAGTGTTGGACAGTCAGGAAAGCAGCTAAGAACTTTTGTGGTTTATAGTTAAAACAGATAACTGATCATTTTTTGAGTTAAAAGTTACACCCATTGTTTTTGTTTTTGTTTTTTTGTATTCTTGTAATAATAATTCACAGCGTTTTTAAATCTTGATCCTTATTACTAACGCTTTTTTCGCGGATAGTGGATCGTAAATGTTCGTTTACATTTTTTCATTTATTTATAAAGTCGACTTTTCCTGGAAAGTAAAGCGCTATTGTGCTAATCTGATGAATGAGATGATACATGGTTGCTTGGTCGCGCGCCCATGGATTATTCTTTATTTATCATTTAAACTACGGTGTTATACAAGGATTTCCAGCCCTGATAAAAGTCGTAACAACACACGTGAAAAAATACGATAATTTTTTACGTGTGTTTGATATCACCAATCAGCTGCTGTCACTTACCTTTCGCGCCACTCGGTCAGGTTAATGAATGAACGGCTAAGTCTTCGCCATTCTCAATCCATGGTCGTTTGTCAGAGTTCTTTCAGAGTATAGCTGCTAAAATACTAATAAATCCGTACAGACAGTGACGTTCAAAATTTGCAAGAAGGGGAGGAAAACCAAAATTCAAAATAACTGAGAAATTTTTATAATGAAAATTAGGCCCACATTTTGTGTCTGTAGTGATTCAACGCATGTTTTCATCTTGAGTGCGCCAATGTACTTTATGATTTTTATTCGTAGTGTCGATCCTTTCATTTTAATTCATCAATAAAGTCGACTTTTCTCGTCAATAAAGGGCTATTGTGTCTATATAATAAACAAAATAATACATGGTTGCTTGTAGATATGAAATTTCTCTTCTCGTGTTCAACTAGACATCTCCCTCGTTCGCTGCGATCGCGCGTGGGCTATCGATTTAAGCACTCGAAGAGAAATCCCATATCTACGCGCGCTAGTATTCTATATTTATCTCAATGTCCCCCCACCGACGTAGCACAAAAGTTGAGTTAGAGACTTACCCCTTGACTAACTAGCTAACTATGTCTATCTAGCTATCTAACCAACTATTTATCTTTCCATTCTAATTTGCTATCTGTTTAGCTGCTTTGTACTTCGTGCAAGTCTAAATATCGCGAGTTAATTTTTCTTAAGCATCACAACGGTCCTGAATCCTAAATCCTCGAATCTAATTGGCTAATTCCGAACCACTCCAAGTTTTGCAAATTGCACTTTTTCATATTTTCACGAGAGACGTAAACATTGTAACAACTGACTCGCAGTAAGGAATTCCGACAACGAAAGCTACAAAGCGAAGGCGAATATTATTACATTGAAGTGGATATTAAAGAAGATTTTTTGCTGTGGTTCACAGGCGTCAGATGGTGACAAACACTTATATATATAACTATATCGTACAATGTAAACGAAAGATGAACGAAATTTCCGTTGTGGTCCAAAAGAAACAAGTTCCCATTAAGTAAATGAAGGAACCATTGGATATCGGCCAGGTTGCACAACCGAGAGCAAACATTCTGCAGAGCTACAGAGGGAGGCTTGGTTTGACCACGGCTGCTCTTTTGGTAGTCTTGGAACGGATAGAATCAACGCCAGCTATCGCCAACAGGGCTGTCTTTACGGAACACTTCCTCAAGGAACTAAGTATTTTAAGCTGAACCGATGTCAGCACTGCTCTTTAGCAGCTACGCAAAGGAGAGGTGCCGGAGATGGATCGTGATAGATTATAGCACACTCTCTGCGGAGTCGATTACTTCTCTGTAAAATTTCTCACTCTACCAAGTTGTCAAAAGGCGAGCACATCGAGGCACTAACCCCCAGGTATCCAATCTTTCCAGAATTGGATGAGGTTTAGTTGAACAAGTACTTCATGCGTGCTTGCTGGTAATGAGATAGGTTACAGCAAACTCGGCGCGGTGTGTATTTCTGGGTATCTTCAATCTTATCCAACGCACGCTTATGAGACAATTGTGCAATATTAGTATAATATTAGACAGTTGAGAACTCGTTGATCATCTTCCGATGGAAACGTTTCTCCTTCTTTCCTAAGAATCGTTACCGTTAGACCTTTTTACTTTAGGTCAACGTACGAGTAACGCACTGGATTTGTTCTGAGCATCTTTTAGGGACCAACCATGACTTATCGCCGTGAGGGGGGTGGAGGATTTTGGGATCACATGATTTTAAAGGGGGCAACGGAGGGGTTGTTGAAGGCCTAAATGTAATAACTGTCCCAATTGTAGTAGAGTCCTAAATGCAATAACATTTGGTTCTATATGTAATAAGCCTCCGATACAATCGTTTATCTCCTTCAGTGCATTGTTGTTGTGGCGGACATCTACATTGAGATGTTGAAGTGTAAGCTGTTGCACCAAAATACCGCTGACCAGTATACATGTCATTACGGGCTCGCTGATATCGATCAGCGTCTTTTTATTTGCTAGACATAAGTCGAGAAGCATTGCCCGCAAATCGTTATACT